TGACGCTACCCTCGATTTAGAACACTCTAGAACAAAACTTTATTTCGAAAACGCGTATTACGATTTATGTGCAGATGTCGAAGATGCTATTGAACAAAAACGCGTTAACACATCTTCACCTGCACCGCAAGGTAACGCACCTACGAGCACACCGTCACCATCGGTGCAGTTGCTCCCGATTGTTATTAAACCGTTTAGCGGAATTTATACTGAATGGCTACCTTTTTATAATACATTTAAAACGTTGGTTCATGACGACACACGTCTGACCAAAATTCAGAAATTTCATCATTTAAAAAATTCTTTGTGTGGCGACGCAGTAAACGCCATAAATCCGTTAACAATTTCTGAGGCAAATTATGATGTAGCGTGGAAATTGCTCAAGGACAGATTTGAAAACAAACGGTTAATCGTCCAGCACCACGTGACCAATTTGTTTAATCTGCCTCAAGTAATTAAAGATTCTGCTAGTTCAATGCGACAGTTATTAGACACTTTTAACGCAAATCTTGAAGCGTTGAAATCTTTTGATGTCGAAATAAATCCATCAGACGTCTTACTCATTTATTTATTAACATCGAAATTAGACTTTGTCAGCCGCAGGGGTTGGGAAGAATCTTTGACTACGAACGAACTACCAACTAAAAAACAGTTAATTGATTACTTGACACAACGGTGTCATTTGATGGAATCGATGGAGTTAAATAAATCGCAATTTAAAACTAATAATACGTATAATAATAATCAAAAAACAGAACCAAAATCATTTTCAAGGCCCCCACAAAAGGTGTCAACATTTACAGCGGCAGTAAATCGCAATAGCACACAATCCACTTGTTATTTTTGTAAAAAATCTCATTTAATTTACAACTGTGTTACCTTTTTAAAACTCAGCGTTTCGGAAAGAAGGTATCAGGTAGATAGGTTGAAATTATGTCAAAATTGTCTCAAACCATCGCATACGTCCGATAGCTGTAAATCTATGTCATGTAAATTATGCCAATTGAAACATAATACACTTTTACATAGTGACCAACCCTCCCATTCAAACGAAAACCAGCCTAGTACCAGTGGAGTTTATTGCTCATCCGCCCTTTTTCCACAAGCCGTTTTGTCTACAGCAATAATTCTAATAAAGGATTGTAAAAACAAATTTCAAAAATTCCGGGCTTTGTTAGACGTGGGTTCAGAATCGCATTTTATTACTGAAGCCGCCACTAACAAATTGGGTTTAAGTACAGAAAATGCAAATGTGGTCGTAGCAGGTATTCAATGTTCAAATACGACCGCTAGACAAAAGGTTCAGGTACAGATCGAGTCGTTGCATTACTCATTTACAACAGCTTTAAATTGTCTGGTAATCCCAAAAATTTCGAAGAACATACCTGTCCGTACCTTTTCTAAAGATGAGCTGGACATACCTGAAGCGGTAAAACTTGCCGATCCTAATTTCAATTTGTCACAGCCAATCGATCTGTTAATCGGAGCTGGATTATTTTGGCAACTGTTATGTGTAGGTCAAATTCAAACGATAGGACATGGCTTAATATTACAAAAAACTTTATTAGGTTGGATTGCAGGAGGGCCATTGCATGGATGCCCCACCAGTGACACTCGTCAAAATCTACATTGCGCGGTCAATAATGTCAATTTAGAAAACCAGGTTGAAAAGTTCTGGAAACTTGAAAGTTATTCAAACGATGATAAGCCGCTCACAGCTCTTGAAATACAACATGAGAACTATTTTATTAACAATGCCACTCAATTATCCAACGGACGATTTCAAGTCAGATTAACATTTAACGAATTTTTACCAAACTTGGGGAATCCGACAGAAATCGCGCTCAAACGGTTCAACACATTGGAACGAAAGTTCGCAAAAAATGTCATGTTAAAAATAAATTATCAGGATTTTATGAAAGAATACATTAATTTGGGTCATATGCGTTTACTAGGTCCATTGACAGAGCATAGAATCGAAAGTGAACCCTATTACCTCTTGCCTCACCACGCGGTTTTCAAAAATGACGGGGCCACTGATAAGATTCGCGTAGTATTTGACGGGTCAGCCAAACCATTATTCGGAAAAAGCATAAATGCTTGTCTGAGTACAGGGCCAAAAGTACAAAACGACATTTTTGATTTAATAATTGGATTTAGAACGTATAGGTTTGCCTTTACAGCGGACATTTGCAAGATGTACCGTCAAATTTTAATTCATCCCGAAGAAAGACGATACGAAAAAACTTTGTGGTGGGATGATCCCGTGCTTTACCAAGCACGTGTCACTTTAGCCAAACGGGCTTCGAATACAAATTTGCTGAATGATTTGACAACTAACCACATCAATTTTCATTTCATTCCGCCTTCCGCACCACATATGGGGACTATCGGGGAAGCAATGGTCAAATCTGCGAAAAGTCAGTTGAAGCTCGTTACTGGTATATTTTTATTTAGTTTGCAAGAAATGCAGACGTTGCAAATACAAGTCGAAACGTGTTTGAATTCGTACCCGTTAACCGCCATGTCCAAAGATCCAAATGACTTGACTCCTTTAATTCCCGGTCACTTCCTCGTTGGAACCCCTCTAACTGTTATTTCAGAGGATAACGTCACCACGGTCTCAACGAACCGGCTCTCCAGGTGGCAACAATTCAGCCGCACTCAGCAGCAATTTTGGAAACGGTGGACAGCAGAACATATGGGCCAACTTCATCATCGCCCAAATTGGACCAAGGCCAGCCGCAACAGCATAAGGTGGACGATTTGGTGGTCGTTAAGGAAGACCACACACCCCCGCTTATATGGACCACTGGGACGCGTTATTACTGTTCATCCCGGTCTACATGCCCCCATTCGCGTAGTGACAGTGAGAACCGCGCATGATGTGATTAACCTGCAAGTGACTAAGCTGTGTGTGCTTCCGACATAAACAAATGTGCAGTGTCTAAATTTACCCCTTTTTTTCTATGTGTTCTGTACTCTATTTCATTGTCAATGTATGCACCTGTCATGTAGACACATTATGTATTTCATATTTGCAAATGTTATACTTTGTCATGTTGAAAGTTAGTTCTTTCAAGGCGCCGGACCATGTTCGGGTTTCGGTTTTACCTACCAACCGCAACCCTTGTCAACAAGCGTCCCCAACTTTCTCTTTTACCTGGAATGTATCACTTCCGATTTTAACAACTTTGTATATAGGCTCCGAACTGTCAACAACAAGTAAATACAGTGTTACACAGCACATGTTTGTGTTTCATTTATATCAATCTTTTTGGTACGTATGTATGAGTAACAATCATACATCCAACAAACATATTTTTTTACTAGTACCTAATCGCGAAACCTCCAATTTATTCACTTGACACGAAGTTTTCAGTTGTTTATTATTGACCTGGGTTAATAATGAAAAACTGAGGTTATGTAATGTTTAACAGAATGTTTTTTTTTGTAGCAATTGTTGTTTTTGTGCCGCCTGCCGCATTTCGGGAGGGGTATATTGTTCACCTTCTGCTCTTTCTACTGACATTTTTGCAATGAAACAACAAATCTTCATCTTGAAAGAGACAGTAATTTTTATCGCTGATATTTGTTTTAAAAAATTTATAATTTTCGAGTTAAATGTAATGAAGTTCCACTAGTGAAAAAAATTGTATATGAACCACGGTTGTGAAGACGCTTACAGCCCGCACGACCTTATTATAGCCCTCGATTTCATCTCGAGTCCTAAACCGGTCGCTCGGAGTATAATAATAGTCTTCACAACCTAGATATATAATACTTCTATATCTAGGTATACTACTATTGCCGTCAGTATTACGGGGCATGCTATAAAAAGTTGGTATTCTTTATCATATATACTTATTATAAAGTATATTAATGGTATAACGGTACATACTACTGTCATTATTGCTATTACAGTAAGCTTTCGGGAGGAAGGTAACCTTTATCACAAGATATCCTATATAATATATCTTGGTTTAACTACCTATAACAAAATAATTCATGTTTATTTAAAAAAAAAAAAATCGTCATGCCCAATCAAAGTACATATTCAAATTAAAAAAACAACTTGATTTTATTTACCGCTTTTCCGCCGACGAATACAAAACAGTCCAATCCTAGCCGCTCTTATTTAGCGACGGTAGGCGGGATGTATCATCATTTATCAGCCAGTGAGGTGTACCGGTCATTATAGATATTCTGGAAACGCTCGGTCTAGATCCCAACCGATTTAGTCATCATATATTACAGACTTCACATCTCACACAAAAACACTCTGCGCTAAAAATTTTTAAAAGTTTTACTTTTTAGCCAATTACATTTTCTGCGAAAATTTTCCATACACACGTTTGTTTTGTCAAAAACATTCTTGGTTAAAATTTTTTTTAGTTATTTTTATTTTGCTTCTGAAACACCCTCCCACCGAATGAGTGAATAAACTCAAAGATTTTTACAACCTTACACATATCATATCTTTTCCAACTGCGTGTTTTTTCATTCCCCCTACTGAGTACAACGAAAATTTAAGCGGAGGGCTATTCCAACGGGACAAACTGTGGTGAGTTGGTGTACTTTTACTGCTGTCAGTGTTAATTTAATTTTTACGTTCACTAGCACCACTGTGGAGATAACTAAATTCCCAAATCACCAACCTCTAGCACTCCTTCGAAATTAGTGGCCGAAAAACCTTTTTAAATAAGGCTACGGTCATTATGTCGAAGTCTATGTACAAAGGTATATCGACGTGCAGTCGATACCAAATTAATTTGAAATTGCAAAAATATGATTGCGAAATATTTATTTTGTATCCATTCATATGTGCGACCAACCAAAAACGTTATTCGGTTCGAGCTCTATTTGATCGGTTGCAGTTGTTTCAGTTCACGTAGACGATACACCATATTAATCACTCAGTTGAGTACTGAAGATCGTAAAAACTAACATATTATACATGCAAGAATAAATATAAATTTAAAACCTCCACGTTTACTTACGTTTACAAGCTTTGCGATGAGTAATTTGTTTTGTTGGATCACGGTAGTATCCCTCCCTGCAGTAGTGACAGTGTCGGCCAGCAGTGTAATGACGGCATTTAAGACATACTCCACCAGAAACTCGTCCGGACAGTTTGTAAAGTTCCATATTAAATCTACATCTTCGAGCATGTTGATTACATTCGCAAGCTGAAAAAAAACTGATATTAAAGAGTGTAATTATTTATCGGACGATTGAACTTTTCAACAAAAAAATATGTCAAAATTGCTGCACGCTGCATTTTAACATAATTTGTCGTCCGGACAGAAGTGTGTTCTACAATTCAGATCCTGTCAACGTCGTAACAAAAACTGTTAAAATATTTTACCATAGAAATATTATTATAGAATTAAATTTCCTCAAATTTCTTATAAAGAGACATATTTCATACTCACATATAAGATATGCTTATATTTTTATGAAACTTTTACTGAGTTTCTATTCAGTAGTTATTTATTAAAAGTAAAATGTGAGTTATCTTTTTGTGTTTCCATAATTATAATTTTAAACAAGACACTAGCTTGAGAGGAACAAGCACGTGAATCTGACAGCACCGTGGGCAAAATCCACTGTTCAATAGATTTACATTCATGTTCCCCGCTAGGCATTAGGGGAAATGAGATACCTCTCTTGGTTCTGACATGTCACAAATATTTAATCTGTGCATTGTATTGTGGTAATTCTGTATACCTTTTGCAATTAAAAGTTTAATAGAAAATGGCAATCTTTCTTGTAATACAAACTGAAACTGGTTTTTCTTATAGGGAATAAATGACTATTATAGATTTGCCATTTACTTTTAAACTGCAGATACAGTAATAATTTCTGTTAATATTCCTACTTTTTCATATTAAATAAGTTACATCTACAATGATTAAAGAAAGCTGTCCTCATTATGTCCAACTTTGTTTGATACAATTCTGGAAGCATATTTACGTCATCTGAGAGGGCGTTTCTATTTACTCTAGTTCAATTTATTACTAATTTTGTGTAAACATTTCAACACACTGAGCGCTGTCAGTCTTGGATTTACATGTACATTTCATACCCTTAGCTGTATTAAAAGCAACGCAACGTAAGGAAAAACAAGGTAGTTTTAAACTATGTTGTAGTAGCATAATTTATTCAATTTACAGATAAGAAATAATAGACTATAAAAATTATTACTGGTAAAATGCCTCTAAATAAATAATTCAAGTTAAAGTTATAACATGGAAAGTTATATGTATTTAACATTTGTATTTATACCTAATATTAATAACAATAGATGCACCATAATTATAAAGTCCTTCATCCTGTTAAAATTTTGAACGTCTGTCTGATTTCTTCAGATCAAATTTCAGGTACTACAATTTCAGGTGTAACAGATGTAGTTTGGTTGGTTCTGTTGATTTATTTAAGAATCTAATGGTCTTTGTTTTCAGGGTGAAATTTTTGGAATCACGTTGAATGTGAATTATTAATTATTAACATATGTGGAAGTGATTTTATTGTTAACTGATATATGCTAGGGAACAGCCTTCACAAGTCAATAGAAAGACTCCTAAATTAGAATTTTTTTTTAATTTGTCTTTACTATTGTTATGTATAAATTTATTTGGAAAGCGGTTTTGTAACAAAATGTCTTATTTTATAGTGTATTTGAGATTTTATTGGATATCCATTCGATGCGACGGACGGTTAATTTCATGTTTTCTCAAAGTTTTATGAGCACTAAAGTATCAAAAAAATAGATTTCCCGTGTCCGTGTCTGTGACATGAAGCCTCTCTGTCTGTCTATGTCGATTTTATTAAATCGAACAGTTAAAATTCGAAAGTACTGGAGTGATTGTTGTGAAATTTGATATGTAAGTAATTTAGCCATATCATGTGCAACCGTAGATGGTAAAACGCTAACCAAAATTTGTCTGATCATCCCAACCAAAAATTTGATGTAAATGCTACTTAAATTTTAAAAATAACTTCTGCTATACTTGTGGTTTATGAAACCATCATTATTTTTAATTTTTGGAAAATCAAAACTGTATGACAACATTTTATATTTTAACTTAAAAAACCGAATGCTCTGAAATACACTCCCCACAAAAATTATCGCACCACCTCCAGTTCTAGTGAACCGGACTAGATGTAGGTACCATGTACATACATATTAGGGATAAGTGTATTCGAGGCAATGCCAAATAATGACAGTATTTAATGTGAGTTTGAGCGATATGTTTGTTCTAGATATATTCAAATCAGAAATATAGGTACAAACTTTTGAGGGTGGTGCGACAATTTTTGTGGGCATATACATACCTATAGTATATTTCAAGCGTTTTAAAGTTAACATAAGAAGAGTAAATAATTAATCAAAATTTGTCTGTATATCCACCAAGAACTTGATGAAATTTTGTTCGATAAATTCGATCGGTTCTTGTTAAAATGTTGATGACCTCATCACAAAGTTTTGTTATAGAAAAACTCACTTGAAAACACGCACAACATGCTCCCTTAATGCTCCACTCATATCTTTATTTTAATTTCGAGGGGTTATAAAAAAAATAATATTCGCAAAATGAAATTTAACTATTTTTGATGAAACTGATTTTATTGGACTGTACTCCGCGATGGGGAGGAAATTTCTGCATAAATATTCTGAGATCAATTTTTCTTTGAAGTTCTCGTTGGACAGTGATGTCAATAATATATGTGTATCATTCTATCATTGCGGCAAGTTTGTGAACTCCATGAATGTAGCGAATTTTTTTTTAATGGTCGTATCCGAATATATGGTTTCAAGAACGGCTGTTTATAAAACAAGTGTGAAAAATGTACGTTTAAGGCACCCGGATGAAAACATTCGGAATGATCGAAGGTAGTTCTGCAAATCATACACGTGCCTTAAATACATTTTTTTTAGGAATACATTACGCCTCAGAAATTAGATTTAAACTGAACTTGACTTGGTAATCAAATCATGTAACAAATCACTGTAGGCTGTACGTAATTCGGGACGACGTTTATTATTTTATTATTATTTTACAAACAACTTTTTTCATCTGTCAAACGTATAGTAAGAATTTTATCCCTAATGGATGCCGGCGATGAAACCAATAACTATGTTGTGTGTTGTGTTTGATGTGGAAAAATCTGCGAGACTGACAATCTGATATGATTGTTATAAATCAAATCATTCAGTTTACCATTCCCACGCCTTAAGGAAATGTGAGCAAATTGTCTAAAAGTTCTGTAAATAATCTCCAAAAATGATTTAATATTAGGTAATAGCCCAAATTCTTTGTATTCATGCTTCTGTCAAATGACCCGATTTACCCTGTAAATAAAGAATTTGACCTCGCGCGGACTCACATCACTTCTTATCATATATGTTCTGTTTATAACGACCCATCAGCTATAGTATAGAGACAGTTGTTGCAACTAAGTCTAAAGTGTTTAGTTCCCTCGATAGTCGTCACCGTGTACGTCCATCATCCAAAATGAAAACAAATAAAATAAAAAGTGCCATTAACTTACGAGTTTGTATCCAACCACCCTAAAGCCGATAACAAATGGATGCACTTGTATTTACACCAACAAAGTCCAAAGTTCAGTATGTATCGGCAAATGTACGATGAGAAATGGTACTTTCCACACTAGCATGATAAAGTGTTACTTTTCATACGCAAATCGATTTGAAATAAACGAGTATGAGTAAGAAAAAGGTATTTTTTGTACTTTATAGTCACATTTACATAAATATTATTTTAATGAGTATCACAATGTAATTCGTAACATGTTTAATTATTTGTTTGTTAAGTAGTTACTGCTGTCGAAACATAATGTTAGCAAAAAAAAAAAAATTATAATCCGATGTAAAAATTCTCAAATGAACTACTTACTATTCTGTTACTATTAATGCATAAAAATTGTACTTACAACTCGTACAATAGAGTGGTGAATTTTACCGACTAGTCTTAGGAAATCTATTGAGCCCTCTACTACCCTACTATTATTTATGGTCCACTTAGAAAACTATATTTATATATATCTATGTATATGTAGACGATATATAGTGTTTCGAAGACACTAACCAACAATTAGACATTACATCAGTTCAATACACATAAAAATTAAATTTATAAACTTTTTAAGGTCTGCCATTAATCATTACACAAATTCATTATCTCTCATAAAACTACACATACGGTGCAACGAAGCGAATCGCCGTACCGTCCCCGCGCGATTTCCCGTTCCAGGGTCGCCGCCCCCACAACCAGGAGGAGCCCGTCCCGAAGGAAGTCGCCATTCAGGACGAAACGACCGTGCCAGACGTTTTATTCTTTTTGTTTTTTTTTTTTTGTAAAGTTTATTTTGTGGACATTTTTAAGAATTAGCCGTAAGATTATTTTAGCCGTGTAGCTGGTGGCAGGGAATAAAAACCTGATTTATTGTTAACAATTTTCCTTCGTTTAATTTCTTGTTTCCGCGGGCGCTCACCAGACCACCTGGAGATCCGTGTCTCCGACTTTAGGGCAACTCCGGTGCTCTCTCCCCGAGCACCGACGCTCCCGACCGAAGGCGCCACCCCCGCTGGCGTGAAGTTGTCCGCATAAGACTAGGTCGGCCAAACATGTTTCATTTCTCAGCGCCACTAGTCGGTCCAAGGCTTGGCACCGAGGTACGCCACTCTCATCACAGGAATTTCGTCGCAACGGTTACAACCATTCCTTGCACCCTTGGATCCATTAACTTGCAGCATACCAGTCATCCAATTAATAATACACACATTATTGATAGTTTCATTAGACAAGGTCTGCAACGAAGAATTAAACAGGAACAAACTAACAACAGTAAAATTAAAAATAAGTATAATGTATACTTATATATACTTAATCCCAAAAGAAAAGGTATTGCAACTTATTTTGGAGATCAATGCATTAAATATAAATACAAAAATTTGTCTGCAAAAACATTTTCAAAACGTGCAATTCTTTTATCAAATTTATTAATAATAGTACAGACAAATCACAAAGAATTCAGGAAAATATCTATCAAAATGTATGTCGGTTAATGAAGAAAATCCAAAAAAATCCCTTCTTTGAATATTTGATATAATTGATGTAAAATTCCACATATTCGAACAACCAGTAACTACTAATGCTTGAAG